TGCCCCTCGAGGAAAGCCCATTGGATACGTCACTCAAAACTGGCATCCTTGTCTCCCAAAGTTTACCATTCTGAACGAAAGGAGGAAGCCTGTGCTGAAGATCGATGGACAATGCTGCATGGGCTCATGCGGCTCACAAGTTTACTTCAAGGTAACTCAAAATAATTGTATTTCATGTACATATTAATTCATCTGTATAGAAAAGGTTCAAAATCCTCTGAAAATAAGCAATATCTATGCTACGCTATGTGGCCAAAAGTATGTGGACACCCCTCACATTATTCAGTTCAGGTGCTTCAGTCACATCTGTTGATAACAGGTGTATGAAATCAAGCACATAGCCAAGCAATCTCCATAGACAAACACTGGCAGTAGAATAGGCTGTAGAGAAGAACTCAGTTACTCTAAACGTGGCACTGTCATAGAATACCACCTTTGCCACAGGTCAGTTTGTGAAATTCCTGCCCTGCTAGATCTGCTGCAGTCAACTGTGAGAGCTGTTATTGTGAATTGGAGCACAAAGTGGTAGAACATGTCAGGGCTGTCGGAACCACAAGGGTGAGCGGGTGTTTGACCCACCACTTTTCAAAGTTTTTTACCACGCAAACTCACAGGGCAAGGCAGCAATGAAGCGCATAGCACATATAAATCGCCTATCCTGTGTTGCATCACTCAGAGTACCAAACTCTCCTGGAAGCAACATTAGTGCATAAACTGGGTGTCAGGAGCTTCATTAAATGGGATCCATTGCCCAACAGCTGCACACTAGCCTAAACTCACTATGCACAATGCCAAGCGTCAGCTGTAGTACTGGTCTAAAGCACATTTTAGATTGTTATATCCTTCTGATTTTGTAGTGCAAGGTCCATAAAGACATGGTTTGATGGTGTTTGGTGTGGAGGAACTCCAGTGGCCTGCACAGAGTCCTGACCTCAACCCCACTGAACACCTGAAATATTGATTGTGAGCCAGGCCTCCTCATCCAACACCGGTACCTGACCTCACAAATGCTCCTTTGACTGAAAGACCACAAATTCCCACAGACACACTCCAAAATCTTGTGGGAAGCTTCCCAGAATAGTGGAGGCTGTTATAGTCGCAAAAGTATGACTTACATACTCCATACTAATGCCCACAGGTTTGGAATGGGATATCCAACAAGCTCATATAGATGTGGTGTCCACATACTTTTGGCCATATAGCACATATCAAAAACTAATGCTCTTTTTGTTTGGAATCAGATTAAGACGCTGGATACTTCATCTCTTGTTGGTGGCATCTTCAAGCAGCCAACAGATTTTGTGCAGGAGACATTTACTAACGCTGACAACTACGGCCTGCAGTTCCCAATGGATCTGGACGTAAAGATAAAGGCCACTGTGCTCGGAGCCTGTTTCCTTATTGTAAGCAGCAAAAATGTCATTTTTTAGGGTCAAAGCAGCCTAGAGGTATTTAACCATTATCCTCCAAGCTTTTGTTAAAAAGTGCTGAACCCATGCAATGTGGTGGTTTGGTGTAAAAGCAATGTCAGTAGTTAAGTTTCCAATTTTTTCATGCAAAACATTTTAACATTTCAAAAAAGTTTACAAACGAAGGCTATGGAAATGGAAATTGTCTGTACTATTTTTTCCAATGAACTTTAGTGGAAAAATTGTTTATCGATACCAGAAATTTTGCACTGGAAACTTTCCTTAGGGAAAAATAACAGATTTATGCGTGTGAAGGGGAGGTAGAGCTGGACTGATCACCTGGCTGGTGAATCGAAGACCCTTCTTGCTGTGTGGCAACAGCGGCTACCCATGACAACTTTTTAATTACTAAAGGCAGTTTGATGGAAACAAGCTACTGGGCAGCAAAAATAAACACAAAATAAATATCTATAAGAATTTCTATTTTTATGGAGCTCGTATGATTCACATATACAATACTGTCAGAGACCACCCTCATTCATCCAATTGTTATTTTATCAAAATAGCCATAAAGTACAACTTATACATTTGTCAATAGATACTTATTGTACTTAATGGCTGTTTTGACTGGGAATTAAATAAATGAAGGGTGGTCTCTGACTTTTGCACAGTGCTGTCCATGGAGTTAAATAAAGAAAATATAGATAAATGAATAGATTTTGCATATACATACATATTACATTTAAAAAAATCTCAACATTATTAACAAAAGTATTAACAAAACATAGTGGATATATAGATAGCAGCATTAGAACTGAGAGTTTCAGTTCAGGCAGGTCCAGTCCTCACTCTTTTAACTTAATTATAACTAATTTTGCATTGTTGTCCATCTAGCTATTGAATAACAAGCTCTAGAATGTGGATGTTGTAAAGGTAAAGTTTTAAAAAGAGGACATTTTGGAAGCAGGGTGGATCATCACTTACTAATCCACTTCTTGTTTACTGTCTTACTAAAACTTCTTGTTTATTTCTTCTGTAGGACTTTATGTACTTTGAAGGAAGACCTACTGCACCTGTCGCTCAAGTATGTTGAACGGAGAATCCCTATTTTCTTCTCTTTTAAGTTGTAGATTGAATGTCACACTATTATTTCATCAGATCATACTGATTATTGAACACTGTACTATACTGAGGTAAACAGTCATTCAGAGTGGTCTGGTGTGAAATGGTTCATTGTAGAGACTCTGATTTCTTTACAGTGGTGGTGATAGGAACCAGGGGTCACCATGACTACAACACAAATATAGCCATTTTATTCACTATCCAAAACCACCAGTGAACCTCCATGTGTCTTCTGAGTTATTATATGTAATGTTGATGATGGTAAAATAGTCATAAATCTGACAATATAAGTTTTCTTTGGGAACTTTTTTTGCCTTAGTGCACCCTTCATGTATTCCTCCACTGTGAATAGGGTAAAATAAACTGATTAAAATACATTTTAGGCAAAACACATTTAGGGAGCTTTTAGAGGCATTAAACTCTTCAGACATCTGGTTCCTATCACCACCACTTTAAACAATTCTGACATAAAACGTTTCTCTAGAACGGAACATTTCACACCAAACCTGAATGAGTTTTTCACATCAAGCCATTACATTATGTAAAAATTTTGAAAAATTCCCCTATAAGCCACCAATGATGTGTACCATACCCTCTAACTCAACATTTGTTTTACTTTTACCCAACAGCGATGGTAATCCTGCAGTTTTGAGATCATCTGAGCAACCATGAGGCCAACAACATTATGAACCATCTTTAATTCATGATGCCTGCATGTACTGATCGCAGAGTCATTGAAGTAGTCGGGTTAGTCCTTCATTGTGAAATGTCACATTGTCTATATGAATGATTTGTGCTTAAATAAAGTTTGTATCACTCATGTCTGGTCACAGGATTGAGGTTTGTTCATTATCATGAATTTAGCCACCATGAAACCATCATTCAAACACACGGTAGAGAATGTACAGACCCCCTGTCTGAGATTTTCTGGCTATTAGCCTCTCAAGATGTTGAAAAAATATAAAAATAACTAGGTTAGTGCAGAACTGGTCTCAATTTCCATAAACGTAGGTATTAGATGCTCCAGCCTACTGTTCCTAACTGTTCCTTTAAGATCTCACAGGGACCTCATTCCTAAAGTGGCCTAGATTTCCACCAAAATATGATTAGTACAGAGCCTTGCTGGTGACATCCCATATAAATAAAAAATAATACATGGCCACACCTTAGTAAGGCATGGGAATGAGATAATTAAGTAGTGGCCACCACTTATTAAGGCGTACAAATGAGATCCTAATGCATGGCCACGACTTATGTCATTCGTGTGAATGACATAATTAAACCTTGACCACAGCTTGATAAGGCATGATCTCGTTCTCACACCTGACTAAGTCGTGACCATGACTTAATTATCGTGTTCCCGTGCCTTACTAAGTCGTGGCCACGCCACATTAACGCATGGCATGAATGAGATATTTTATATCCATTGTTTTTTTATACTGTCACCAGCAGAGCTCCGTAGATTAGTGTTTCCAGTCAAAATGACTGTTAAGTACAAAATAAACCATATTTAACAGTAAACAACATAAAAACTTGAAACACTAAGCATAAAACCAAATCTATCAAAATGTTCCAAACTTGGGCCTCAAAAATTGATGAAAAGCTACAGAGAAAATGAGCCTCCTAACAACCACCTGGAAGACCTAGTAGACACCAAAACTGTCCCCATCAGATAAACAGGACTTTCATCTTTGAGAAAGCGGAGAAAACTCCACTTTGAGAAGACAACTCAGTGCTATGGGTCTGAAAGGAGGCGTGGAAAAATGTCCCTGTAGATTTATTTGAAAAACTCCAGTTGTAATAAAGGCAAAGATTTGACATATTGTTCAGTTTTTGAAGTTTATGTGAATGTTAAAAATTAATTACTTGCACTTAATGTACTTAGTATTAAATACATGAAAGAGTGCCTGGTTTTCGTTCCTTGAGATCCAGTAATAACATTGCGCAACATATAAAAATGCCCTTTATATAAGTATTTCTCATTTCTCACATGAAAGATCTTCTTATCTTGGTCAGCATGTGTGCAAAAGTTCTTGGCCCCCATAATTGCCACTATCAGCCACAACCCTCTGGGGCGCTCTAGAAAGAAGTGGTATTTCTTAAAAAAAAAAAACTGGCCCAGTAACATGTTTTTTCTTTCTGTTCTACCTTGTCTTACTTGTTTGATTGTCCACATGCCCTAGATAAGTCACTGTGGTAGGCTTGGGGACATGTTAAGAGCCACAAAACATTAAAAATCCTTTTGTGGTAACAAAGTCAACAAAGGGTCAACAAAGCTAAGCTAAGCTAGGCTAAGCTACAGCTAGTCTGCTCATAGGCTAAACCACAGATCCCCAACAGACAGCTTTTTCCCTCAGTTATCTGGTTCTTACTCAAAGAAAAAAAACGCAGTTTCCACCAGTCAACAGCTACATGCCATGTATGCAGTGTATTGCCTTAGCATAGCCTGGGGCTAAACCCCATCTTTTCCACAAGCCTTTTATTTGCTCATGTTTTCATACATTGTGGCAGCTCACATTATGACACAACCGTTGAAGACTTTTACAGTCATACAGAAAACTGTTTTTTGATCATTTGACAGTACAAATATTCATATTCAGTTTTAGCATGAAGCTAACACTCAGACAGGCAGCTAAGCAGCCCTGTTGTGTACATAGCTTAACTGGACAGTTCAAAAATTCTCAATTGAAAGACAATACAGTCCCAGTTACTTGGACATTTGGCCACCACACACACGCCAACAGACTCATACAGCAACCAAATGACCAATACGGGACATTAACGACAGTCCTGTTCAAACTTGCAATAATGCTAGCTGGATGCTAATGTCCATGGGTAACAAATGGATGAGTTCCACTGCTATACAACATTAGAATCCGCAGTAAGGGAGACGATGCACTGCATCTTCTGGTTCATTCGTGGTTAAATTTCTTTCTTTAATAGCTTTCGATTGGTAGACGAAAAGGTTAATATGTGAAAATTCAATTCGGAATTCAACAATCAATGTTTTCAAGCAAGAAAGGGCTCAAATGCATAGCGGGGCTGTCGGGACAAAATCTTCATTGTCCATTTTTCAATTTTGACGTAGTTTGAAAATAACACTCCCCAATGAATGAACAGAAATGTTACAAAATTACATGGAAAAATTCTGGTTTTATTAACCCCCATTTAATGATAAGAGGGTTTTTTTTCCTTCTCTTGTGCAGTTTTAGGAGATACGACAGCGATAGCGACCTTCCATCATGTTTAGCTATTTGATTTTCCACAATTTTAATGCTGATGTTTAAAAAATAGAGATCTGGGACCACCAAAAATGTGTCATTCAAGAGAAATTAAAAAAATAACCTTTGACAGTTGCAGCCAAAAGTAGGGTCCTTTGTCAAGATTCTCGTTTCAGTATCAAATTCAATTCTCAGTCATTCTGTAGCATTTCTGAGACCATTTATGGTGCCAACATTAGCATGGCAAACATTAACTTAAAACAGTCACAATGAATAAATAATTCATGTACATTTTAAGTGTCAACTGTTCAGTCAAATAGAGCATAATCATCCCACCTATTGCTCTGTTACATCAAACCTCTATCGTTTACTTCAACACTCAAAAAAAACGACGCCCAGAATACAAGGACCTTCTTGCTCAGTACAGCGGAACCCCTCTGTGAACTTTACATGGACGGACACAAGTGAGGGAATCTGCATGAAGGACCAATACAACTCTGTCACAAGCAAGACTGAAGGCGGATCAGCGCAAGTGTGCACAGATGGGCGGCTCACTGGACCCGGGTCTCCAGCAGGGCGCTGGGCACCAGGTGCAGCGGTGTTCCGACGCAGCCGCTGATGTGGCGGAGGGAATCTGCACCCAGGTAGGCCAGCAGCAGCTCGGAGCGCCGGTGCAGCAGGTGGAGAATATCCTCGGCCAGGGTTTCCACACTGGAGTAACGCACCTTTTCCAGGTCGAAGATGTCCTTCAGGAAGAACAGCACCTGGTCCTGCAAGATCAGAACACATCATGTTATTATGTTCCTGCTAAACTGACCCTATAAAGGTGCACATCAGCAATGGTGGAAACTGGAATCGGAAGTACATAATTTTCCCTGTTTTAACCCAAATGTAGTCAATCAGCCAAGATACAATAGATGTCCAAAAGTTTGTAGACATCTGCATTATTCAATCTTTCCTCCAAAATCAAGGGGATTCAGAGGAAGTTTACCCCCCCCCCCCTTTGTTGCAGTTACTGCCTCTACTCTTCCAGGAAGGCTTTACACTAGATGTTGGAACATTGCTGAGGATTTGATTGCATTCAGTCACAGGAGCATTAGTGAGGTCAGTTACTGATGTTGCATGATTAGTTCTGGATTATTCCAACTCATCCCAACGGTACTGGAGCTCCATCACTCCAGAGAATCATCTCAGTGAAAAGGTCCAGAGCATCCCATTCTATTGGTCAATGCTTTTCTATGGACATTATAAGCTCAGTTTGTGCAAATGAACACCTGTATCAGCAACCTTTATAAAACTGCCTTCCACCTTTGATTGCCATTTGGAATAATGCTGTGATAGCACTTCAGATAGATATTATGGATATTTTAATTCCATCCATACCTACATTTTTAATGGGGACAGATACAGACCTAAGGCAGTGGGATCACAGTCTAAGCTGAGCGACATGTGAAAAGTTTCTAATGCTGTTTGACATATGTTATTTATAAAAATGGTCATAAGTATGTTGCTAAAAAGGTAAAAAGGTTCAGAAAACCAGTTCCCAGCAGTGAGATCCAGCAGCATCGTTACTAGTAACTACAGTGGAATTATTTATTTCAGTAGCTATTCACATACAAATAACATGGAAAAATTGAATCTTGAGTTATTTGTTAAAAATTTGTCAATGTGTACAAACTTTGGCAGACATCTTTCTTTGAGATGCCTACATCTGTTATGAATAGAGACCCCGCTGCCTATCAGTTGTGCTCTGTTAGCGCCAAAACAGCGTGTGTGCTTGGACCCCTATGACTGAAACTTGCAATGTAATTTGTATACGGTCCCTAAGCTCATACAGCGGTTATGATACGGCATCAGCTACATAAATTTCAGACGGAAACAAAGTGGAAGCTGATCTTCTTGGTTGAAAACATTGATTTTTTCTGAATTGAATTTTCACATATTAACCTTTTCATCTACCTTTCGAAAGCTATTAAAGAAAGAAATTTAAATGTGAGAAAATGAAACAAACTTCACCACTTACAAATCGTGACCCAATTTTTGGTAATAATATATCAGACCTGATTGGCTGATAAAAACTAAAATAAATGCTGTGCTGTATTTCAACCCATCACATCTACACAATTTACATGAATGACATGCTACATTTTGAATGATGCATATGTTTGGTAGTAGCAGCCATCTTGAAGCTTGCACATTTGTCCATGTTTATAGATCACATTCAGTATCAGAGCACAGACCACAGAAGCAAGTCTATTTGAGATAACACGGTTTGAGTTCCAGAGCAACATTATAAAAGCAAAACATGTTCTGGGTAGTCATCAAGATTTTAGAGGAAGGGGAAAATTGGGTAAATGTAAATTTTGCTGAACTATCATTTAAAGACAGAAATTAAAAACGTTACCTTAAAGAAACAGCAGAAATCGTGCAGGGAGCTTTTAGGGCCGAGGAAGCCCCACGCCAACACAGGGCTTATGTGTTCACACACTGCGTAGAAATGAGCGATGAAACCATCCTGCACCTGAAAAACAGACAGGAGTTAGTGACATTCATGGATTTGGTTATGGTGAGCGGGCAAATGCAGTGCAACATACAACAAAATATTCTACCTTTGCGAAAATGTTTCCTGCCAGAGATGCAAGAAAAGCAGCTAAACCTGAGCTACAGCTAAAAGCAGAGCAAAGTAAGTCTGTGTTTTTGTTTATATTTTTTAGTCTATACTAGAACATCAGCACATACTGAGACATATTTACAGCCAAGATGTTAAAATGGACATAAAATAATGTGGCTCCCAAGGTGGTTTGACAAAGTTAGGATTTATTTCTAATCTCTCTTTAGTTAATGATCACCAAGTCATCAATCTTTAGAATCAATCAGGTATTTGTTATTATCTGCAGTCAAGGTGAAACCCAAGGTGAAGTGTGCATATTTTATACAGGGATAGAAAGCACAAAGCTCTGGTTCCACATGCTGAAACTGATCAAATGATTTGAGTAAAGCTAAAAGTCACAGAACTTTATTCTGTGATCAGTCACAGAAAGGTCTGTGACTTATCAGGTGTTTCTGTTTTTGCCTGGCCATTTAAACCAGATTCAAATTTAAATGAGTGGGTTCCTTTTTTTGAACCCAGAACCCCCAGGTTTGTGTGGTTAATGAGGTGTGAACAGGCCTAAAGACAGTAATCACCAATGGTACCTTCATATGTTGTCTCTTCTGCTTCAGAACAGACCAGCAGCTTGATGCAACAGCCTACGGGGGTAAAAACAGCAATGAGTTGAGTACTTCAGTTCAGTGCAGTTCAAGCTGGACACGCTGAGATTTCTCTGACTTACAGTCTCTTTGAAGGAGCTGTTGAGCCAGCGGTTATTAACGACATTCTGGATGGAAATGGGGGGATTCTCCAGATCCTCAAAGGAATCCATCAGGATAAAGTCCAGCACGATGTCATAGAAGTTTAAATGCTTCACCTATTGGTTTAAAAATACAGAAAATAATACTTGAATTATACAGAATAATAATACAGAATAATAATATTTGTAAACAATATATAGGTGAATAAATCAACTGTCCCTTTTATAATAAAGTTAAATGAACTTAACTTTAGACGCCAAACTGGTTTTTGGCTGACTAACTCAAATTTAGGGGTAAATTATGTTGACTTTTGATTAAAGTTCTCCTTTAAATTAATTTTTGATGATTACATACATTACATATCTGTCTGTTTGAGATATTTTGACTCGTCTGAGGAAATGCGTGATGATTTAGGCATGCTGACTGCAAAATAGGTCTTGGCTGACTGGCTGACTCTCATTTGGGGTAAACTATGCTGATTTTTCACTCAAGTTCTCCTTTAAATGGGGGTAAACACCTGCGGTCAGCTATTTTCTAATCACATTACCTCTCTAAATAAACAAGGCAGTGAGGAATAAAGCTCATTAAGACTGGACTGAAAGCCTTGCACTCACTACCCTGGCCTGTACTTTGGCACTGGCTGGTCGACACATGTGAGAACGTGAGAAAATCTCCCTCACCCCTCTCGTGGCCAGTTCCGCCTCCGTGTTCTCCCAATGATCCGTCTGCTCCAGGAAGCAAATCATGTCCTCGAAAACCTCCTCAAACCTTTTAGGGCTCTGCCAAGCACGAAAAGCCACATCAGCTGTAGCACGAGTAAAATCTCCCATACTTTGGATACAGACTGATGGCATTCACACTTCTAATATACACTGGATTTATAGTACCAGTGTATTTACAGTGGTTTATCCTTATTTTTACCAACTGTCACAGTTTAGAATAGTGTTAGACATCACATGTAGTGTTAAATCAGATATAGTGGTAAAGTAACACGTGGGACTACGCAGTAAGCTATGCAATGCAATGCAAAGCTGCTTATGTTTTAGAGTCTATTCAAGCTGTATTTGTTTTACCTGAGGAGGTACTGCGCTGTGAGTAATTACAAATGAGATCCAGTATAAATCTGCAATGTCTGCAGTTTTTACAAGTCTGCTAGTAATGATTCTGGAGCAAATTATGTTCTACAACTCACCAAACCCAGACTAACAGTAGTCTTGATCAAATCGACATCACAGTCATGTAATAACAAAACCGGGTAAAAGAAAACGGCACCTCCATTTTTTCTTTTTTGCGACCTGAAGACAAGGCTAACTGCTAAAATGAAGCTATTCCTTGACCCAAAAAACACAACACTTTATTCAGATTTACATTTTTATTCAGCAAATGCACCGACATCATAACTGATCACACTTATTCTTAGTGTGGAAAAGTCTGAGATGACCAATCCATTATTTAACATCCAGTTTTGGTGGTCTACCAGGGCTTGCAGGTGGTTGCTAGGAGCATCACACTCTCAGTATCTTTTGATCAGTTTTTGAGCCATAGTTCTGGAAACTTCTTATTATCCTTTGACTTTGACTTTCCTTTTTTTAAGTGGATTATCGTCTATCTAATCTCCTCAGAAATATTCCCTGAAAAAATGGTTAATGGCAATTTGTACTGGAAAGTAAATAAATGAAGAGTGGACTCCACAGTACTGTAGAAACATGTGTATGGAAATGTAGCTACTGTTTGTAATGCAGCTTTGCCCACTTTATAAAGTAGCTTTATGACACGCCACTTGCTGAAATTACTTGTGTAGGGAAATTAAAAAAGAGTTTTTTAAAATTTTGAAAATAAATTCATACACAGGACTCAATTTCACTATTTATATTTGTCTTAAGTTCAACTTTTTGGTGAAGCATCTGAATCCTTAAAGTACAGCTGCTTGAACAATTTCCACAGCTGAACTCAGTCGAACAGTATCAGAGAGAAACTGTCACTTCTACTTGTTGGAAGAAACTGCCAAACGAGCCAGGCAGGTGTGAGGAATGCTGATCTCGAGAGAGAAACACTCACCTTCCTGGCTTTGACAATTATTGAGGACAAGATCTTCTTTCCTGTATCAGCCAGAAACATTCTAGTTGCTTTTTCGCGCAGAATGACCTGAAGAAAGAAACGTTGGTCAGCGTTATTTGAGACAGAGCGCCTCTGAAAAGGCATACCTGGAATTGTTTTCAGGCTTTTAGCGGATTAATGAAAAAAGACCAACTGTAACAACATTCAGGATTGGAGAAAATGCTGCTGTACCTGGCAGGCCTGGCGTATGCAGTGCAGCTTTGCGAGGAAATCCGTGTCCCCAAGACATTCCAGCATCTCCGTTCTGTATGGGAGAAATGACACGTTGACATTTTTATTAAAAAAACAAACAAACAAACAAAAACAAAAACATCAGGCAAGTAAACAGGTTATATTTGAAAGCAAAGCTGGATCAATACAATAATGATATAGAACCAATACTGGTATAGTATTGCTAATAGTGATGGATTCTACCTCAATGTATGCATGTTTGATTTATGTCATTTTATGAGACCCTGTTATTGTCTCACCGGAGGACTCTACAGGAGATCTTGCCATCCTCGGCCATCTGCAGGGCCTCTTCGTAGAAGGGGTAATGGCAGAGCGAGCCGAGGCCAAAGGCACTCCTCATCTCCCTGTGTTCAGACAGCTGAAAGAGAGGGAGAATGGTCACATCTACAGCAGCTGCTTCTAAAAATCCCAGATTAGGTGTAAAGAAATGAGAACGATAATGATCTAAAGCAAACATATTAACACTTATAATGCATATTTTTGTTCCTCAGTCCAGCATTAGCAGCAAAAGACTGAAACAGATTCTACTTCGGTGCACTAGGTGGCGATATGCATCTTTGACTTGCTAGATGTGGAGTGAAGATGTCTAGCTATTCTCTCACAACAGCGCAAGCTGGCAGGACAGTAAGCAGAGTTAGCCAGCTATTTATTTGACATATGATATAAAATTTAATTTTCTTGTGTGTACATAGTTCTGTATATACTTATTGAATATATCGCTGTTGTCAGAACTAAACCTCGTATCTCCAAAATGATAAATTTACAGGAGAACGAAAAAACCTACTTTACTTTTAATGTAAGTCAATAGAACCAGACTTTTTTCCAAGTCATTTTGAATTGTTTCTTTTGGTCCATTCATCATGAAATTCACATGCAATGTAAAGAACAACAGGTATTTTCAAATTATGTCAAAAACTGAAAAAAAAATGGAGATACAAGGTTTTCTTCTGCCAACAGCGATATGTTTATTTTTGCAATATACTTATGGTTATATTCAATAGGAACTACAAATAAATATCAATAATTATCAATATCATACAATATGGGAAAATATACTGTAATACAATTTTCAGCCATATTGTCCAGCCCTATTTTAGACACTTAAAACAGAAAAAATATTAAATAACTTGGTCCCTACATCATATAAGCAAGGAGACGAACAGGTTTACCATTATTTCACCAATTAATGCATAAAAATTCAGAAGACGCGTGGAGGTTCACTGATGGTTTCGGATAGTAAATAAAATGGCTATATTTGTGTTGTAGACATGGTGACTCCTGGTTCCTATCACCACCACTGTAAAGTAATCTGAATACATTTATCACACATGCTGGTTTTGATTCTGTAAGCATAAGGCAAAGTACTCAAAGCTAATCTTGTCTCGTTGACTATATTTGAGGTACATCATCTATTCCTTTAAAACAAAGAGACGAGGAGCTCGATTTTTTAGGTATTTGAGAGCAGTGCCAGACCACGTTACCATAGAAACAGTGTGACAGTTTAGCCCACGTTAGCAGGCCTCCTCACCTCGGCAGCAGACACAAAGGAGTCGGTGGAGGCGATGCTAACAGAGTCCCTCAAACACGAGTCGTCTAAATCCTCCCTCGCCGAGACGTCTGTGTGTTTATCTGCCAGACAGAGAAGAAAGCTTAGTCAATTAGCGCCGTCTCACGTGTGGCAGCGTAGTGACCTCATGCCAAGACAGGACAGAGCCAGAAACAACCAACAAATTCTGCCTCTGTGGACAGTCAGTGTGCAGGTACAACAGAATTCAGTGAGCAATTCTGAGTCTGATCATTATAACTTTACACAATAAGCAAGAGTTAAATAAAGTCCTACTGCCACTCATAAAATCTATGAAAATGTACAGTATGGTTTAAAAAGTATGGTTCAGTACGGTTCTATTGAATTTCCAGTCAAAACATGCATTATTCATGAATTTATTATTAATAATAATATAATAAATGTATATATTTTCCAGTGTTGGGAGAAAAAAAGAAAAAATATGATACAAAATTATGTAATTGCACAAAAGCCTCAATGACTAAATATAATATCAGATTTTTCAGTGTTCAGTGTGTCCAGTCTTAGCCTTTATTTCATTCCTTTCAGGAGACTCACTTTCAGTTTCTCAAAGAAATCTGCAGCCACACCTCCAAAGTTCAGTCATAGAAGTTTTTTTTTTTGAAAAGCGTTCTATACAGCACCAAAAAGGGTTCTTCTATTATTACAAGCTTGACATCATAACAGTAGAAGAACCTTTTTTGGTGCTATATAGAACCCTTTTCAAAAAGGAACGCTTTCATGATGCAAAGAACCCACTAATCATGCAAAGGGTTCTTTGAGTGTCTGTGGTTCTATAAAAAAACATTTTCTTTACTAAAGAACCCTTGAAGAACCATCCTTTTCAAGAGTGTACAGCACATTCTCCATCAATCTGAAGAACGAGTTGATGATGCAAAAACTCTTTAATTGTGCAAAGAGTTCTTTGAAAGTTCACGGTTCTATATGGAACCATTTTCATTACTAAAGAACTCTTGAAAAAAAAACATATTTTTTAAGAGCGTACAGTGTATTCTCCATCAATCTAAAGAACCCTTTCACGATGCAAAGAACCCCTTAATCATGCATAGGGTTCTTTGAAAGTTCATGGTTCTATATAGAAACATTTTCTTTACTAAAGAACCCTTGAAGAACCATCTTTTTTAAACATGTACAGCACATTCTCCACCAATCTGAAGAACCCTTTCATGATGATGAGAACCCAATAATCATGCAAAGGGTTCTCTGAGTGTTCATGGTGCTATGCAGAACCATTTTCTTCACTAAAGAACCCTTTAAGAACAATATTTTTTAGGAGTGTACAGCACATTCTCCATCAATCTGAAGAACCCTTTCATGATGCAGAGAACCCATTAATCATGCAAAGCGTTCTTTTGAGTTTTCATAGTTCTATAAAGAACCATTTTCTTTGCTAAAGAACCCTTGAAGAACTATTTTTTAGGTGTGGAGAAATGTACATAACTGTGCTCACACGTCAATATAGAAAATACAGTATGTTGTGATGAAGTAGCAGAACAAACAGTAGGTCAGCGTAGACGGACGTGCTGGACTGCATGTGGTTCTGATAGTGACGCTACACAACAACGTGCACACGTGTGGGGTGAACTTTACAAGAAGTTTAACCTTCTGTAACCAGATGACTTTGGACTGAATCCAGCTGCTTTATTTAGACTGGAGTCGTGAGAACCGTACAACGGAGCTTTAGTGAGCAGACCAACTGACAGAGACATACACAACAATCCGATTTTTTCAACAAGGAAATATGGCTTTAATTCTTCGTAGATATGGTCCAGGCCTTACTGACTTACCGTTACCGGCATGTGAAGAGTGGTCGGACACGCTCAGCGCTCCCTCAAACTCCTCCTGGAGGCGATAGGCCCTCTGCAGCAGGGACTCCAGCTTGTGGATGAATTCTGCACTGATTATGTCCTGATAAAGCAGAGGACTCACGTCACTTATTCAGCTCCAAATGTGGATAATTGAAGGTGGTGGAAGTGATGATATTCATATGCAGACGTTTGTGCATCCCTGTTCAAATTCCATGTTTAATTAAGTAATAAGCCACTTGAGGGCGTGCATTACAGTGATTTTAATCATAGCCGTGTCATAGGTGTCGTTAGGCAAGGAAAACCCTTTACTCGTAATAATTACTGTAACATGACCTCACACAGCTTACTGCATCATAAAACAGCAGACAATATAAAATATGATAAAATACGCAAATTTTCAATAAATAATTCAAATTAATGAACAAAAGTTGATATTCATATGTAGACATTTGTGCATCCCTGTTCAAATTTCATGTTTAATTAAGTAATAAGCCACTTGAAGCCGTGCATTACAGTGATTTTAATCACAGTATGGGGTGTTGTTAGGCAAGTAAAATCCTTTTGCTCGTAATAATTACTGTAACACACAACCTCACACGGCTTACTGCTTTCATAAAACAGCAGACAATATAAAATATGATAAAATAGGCAAATTTTCAATAAATAATTCAATTAATGAACAATTATTCCATGAAGAAATTTATATCCTTTCGAGTATGCTATTGTTGCCAAGCAACCATGGATAGCTGAAAGAGCAAAAGAACATCACCTATTTTTTATATTTCATGAACTTTTTTCCAATTTATAATCATAAAATAACGAACACATCATAATGTAACAGTTATGTCATAGCATTTGCAGAAGTACTAAAAAGAAAATGTAACAGATTCTATCAGCACTGTTAATTTTGAATGTGTAAAGCTTACTATTGGGCAGTTCTTGTGTATGTGTGTTTCTCCTCACGTCTATCTGGACGATGTGCCGATCATTTATTTAATTATCATCGTTCTGTTATAATTATCATACATTTAATCTTTAGTCTCTTATGCACGTTTCAGGGAGCTCCATGCCTAAATTCCACTGTAAATGCCAAAGAACTTGAACTTGAACCGTGACTGCCAGCAAGACACATGCACGCTCTAATCTTCAATAAGCCGTCTACAGGCTTCGCCAAGGCCAGCTCACCGGAGGACGATTACTATTTAAAAGCGAGCAGCAGCTTAAAAGAAAGGACGCTGGTTTTGGGTGAAAGTGAACTGCAGTTAATCCATGTCTTTGGCTGACTTTAACCTCCATCAGTGTCTGGAAGGCGCAACACTGAAGCTGTCGGTGCAGTGAAGCGGTCAATTATGCAACAAAACCATTCTTTGTCCAAAAGCAACAGCTCAATAACATCAATAACCCTGCAGCAGAGGCCAGTGCTTGCCCACACGCCATCGATCATCTCTATATACGGTTCTAGCCAAAGTGAATTGACAGCAAACCATCATGTGGTCACATTTTTTCCCCATGAGGATGATTCCAGTGAGGAGGTCAGTTGTGCCAATTTATAACAAGGTCCTGTACCTCCACACTTTCCTCCGCGATGGCGTCTCCAGCCCCCAGCTTCACCGAGGCACAGCTGGCCTCGTCCTCGGCTAGCCGGCTGCGGAACGTTAGGGCCTGCTCCCAGCGCCGTAGAGCCTCTTCAAACAGCTCCATACCTGGAGGAACACCACCAGAAATGTATATTAGGGCTGGAAGAACTAGTCAACACGTTAGTAATAAAAAATTATCGACATAAATTTGTTTTTGGTGACAGGAATCAGATATTTTGAGAGTTTAATGCAGAGTTTAATGAAAATTATTACATGAAATGGTTAAAAATACACAGCCTGATGCCTGAAACATTGTTTTGTGATAGTTCTGAGAAGGTTATGGCTTAAAAAATATAGTCTATTATTAAATTCATTATGGCAGAGTGGCACACGGAGGGGGTAATAAGGCAAAGTAGTACATGATGAAAACATTGATTTACCATCATCAACATTACACATAAAGACTCAGAAGACTCGTGTAGGTTCACTGGTGGTTTTGCATAGTAAATAAAATGTCGTAGTTGTAGTCATGGTGACCCCTGGTTCCTATCACCACCACTGTAAAGAAATCTGAGTCTATAAGTTTCTCTACAATTAACCGTTTCACATCAAACCGCTTTGGTTAACCATTCATACAGTCTAGCTTCACAAACAACATAACGTGCTGACCCTCACCCATCAGGTAGAGGTTTTCGGGGGTGGTGACGGGGATGACGTTACGGAGCTCGCTTTCGTCTGCTCTGTCCCAGCAGCTGGAGCCATTAGGACACGTGCAGCTGCTGCAAGAGTTCATGCTCTTCACCTGAGAGAAAGCAGAGTATACTCAGTGATGCTAATACAGATCAGCACTAAAAAAAGATTCGGAAGTACTGACAGATTTGTGCCAAGTGTTACTAAATACCCAACACGGCTACCTTCACAACATTTACCAACAGATGAATTTAAACCACTGGTACAGTGAAAAATCTAATTTACACAATTTTACCCTTTGATTCGAAAACAAAAAAGAACTCACTTCACGTCTTCTTACGTCTAATTGTATTTTTTTTAATGTTAGCAACTTTAATGAAGGCTTAGCTTCGCCCACTCAAAGCACAATCATGTCAGACAACAGTGACAATTCTAACCTCATCCAAAAGCTATATTTTTGGCTCTTTAAATATGTATTTTACATATATGGTCATCTAAGGGCACCTAATTATACAACCTATATAAGCTTGTTGGATGTCCCTTTCTAAAACCATGGGCCTTAACATGGAGTTGCCCTTCTTAGCAGCCATAACAGCCTCCACTCTCCCGGGAATGCCTTCTAATTCATCCGAAAAGTGGTCAGTAGGGGTGAGGTCAGGGCTCTGTCCAGGCCACTGGAGTTCATGCTGGAACAGGAAAGGGTCTTCCCCGAACTGCTGCCACAAAGTTGGAAGCATATAATTATCTAAACACATTAGCCTTCACTGGCCTCGTGCAACAAAGGATATGTGCTTCAGCACTCGGTGGTCCCACTCTGTGAGTTTGCGTGGTCTACTGTCTCGTGGCTGAGCTGTTGTTGCTCCTTGATGCTTCCATTTAACAATAACAGCACTTACAGTTGTCTGGGGCAGATCTAGCAGTGTAGAAATTCTTAAACTGACTTGTGGCAAAGGTGGCATCCTATGGCAATGCCACATTTAAAGTCACTGAGCTCATTAGTACAACCTGTTCTATAATTAAGAGTATGTCCACATACTTTTGGTCACATAGTGTGATATCTACTGTTTTAATAAATAACCCTGTTCACCTGTAGTGTCTCACCTTAAGATTTTGTAGGCAAATGTAGCTATGAAAGAATCAAAGCTGATGGTTTTTAAGGTCATTTTGTCTAATTTTATGGGTAACAATAAGACATACAGTGTCAAAACACACATAAGCCATATTACTTACAAACTAAACACGGTCTGAGCTAACTGTGAAGATTAAGGCAGGCAGTTTGCATGATGCTAATTGGTGGGTATAAGCTTCTATTATTTGTTACCTATACTGGCCTCTCGGCCAATTAACTACAGGTATGGGGAGGGGAATATTTTGGAGTTTTGTTCGGTGAACTATCCCTTTAAAAAGTCCAGAAGCCTTGTAAAAACATCACTGTAATAGCGACTGCCCAGCTAAGCGGGTTTACCGAGGCCAAACTCTGCAGGGAGCCGGAGAGCTTGCTGTACAAGCTGCCATTAGGCACCACATGGCAGGAGAAGCCGTTCTTCGAGGTCAGAGACAAACTTAGGTTCTGGCGGCTGCCAGCAACATCTGCAGGAAGACAAGAGAGCGGTCATTTCACCATCGACAGCCTCATCATTTCCATATAACAGCAGGAATACTATCCACCCAGCCAATATGGTCTATACAACATAATCAACGACAGAGAGTCAGAGAGCAGGCCTTCGGAGAGACACTACACTGTAAGGGTCCTTATGTGGACCCTCAGTCTCATAACGTACATATTAGTTTCATTATAATTACAGAATAACTCATTTTCAAAGATGAAGTCTTCAGATTAATATGTAAATATAACAAATCTGTTTTCTATGCTATGTAAATATGCAAATAGATATGCTTTAATTCCTGTTCTCTCGTATTTTAACTAATGTCTTTTAATTTCTGCCTAATTTATGCAAGTTAATGTGCAATTATATGTCTTGCTACTGTAACACTGCAATTCTTCTCTAGGATCAGTAAAGTTGTGTCTGTCTATCCATCTGTCTGTCTGTCTATCCATCTGTCTGTCTATCCATCTGTCTGTCTGTCTATTCATCTGTCTGTCTATCTGCCTGTCCGTCTATCCATTCATCTATCTGCCCGTCTATCTATATTTGTCCGTCTATCTCTCTGTCCGTCCGTCTATCTATCTGCCCATCTATCTATCAGTCAGTCTATCTATCTATTTGTCCGTCTATCTGTCTATCTATCCATTCATCTGTCTATCTGTCTGTCCGTCTATCTCTGTCCATTTATCCATTCATCTATCTGTCCGTCTATCTATATTTGTCCATCTATCTCTCTGTCCGTCCATCTATCTGTCCATCTATCTATCAGTCAGTCTATCTATTTGTCCGTCTATCTGTCCATCTATCCATTCATCTGTCTATCTGTCTGTCCGTCTATCTCTCAGTCCGTCTATCTATCTGTCCATCTATCCGTCTATCTGTCTGTCCGTCTATCTCTGTCCATCTATCCATTCATCTGTCTATCTGTCTGTCTGATAACTAATAATAAGCTTGTATGGTGTTAATGTCTGAGTGCTGTGTGGTTGATTAGACAGTGTAAATTCTACTGAATCTGTTTTTTGCTGTTAGAATAAGGAGCAGTATTGATTTATTTTAAAGTTATTCATTGCTTTAAAACACTCAACATGCAAAAATAGTTCTTTTTTGTCAAACATCTCTTTACAAACCTATTTTTCATTGCATTTAAAGTAGAGCTGCACTGTATTGTCTTATTTTTTACTCATCTAGTTGTTCTTTTTAATTTCAGGCTATTTTTCTATTTATAAACTTGTTCAAATACAAGTAAAGTTAAAATACAAGTAAATATAATAGTAAATATAGGCCTAAAGTATAGTAATAATTTACTAACGCTAATGTTGCCTCATCAACATTGAAAAGCCAGGACTGCTTGAAAGAGTCCATCTGCAGATAGATACGTAGCAAGTTGCCTGATCTCGAGTCGAGTGCCGTGATTTACCTTTCGGTTGGGGAAGCCCTGAGAGGAAATCGAACGCCTCCTGTTCCCGCGGCGACTGGCTTCTCTTCCTCCCTTTCCTCCTCCTGAAGTGTCGGGCGAGGAGGGCGAGCGAGACGGCGCCGAAGGCTGTGGCGGCCACCAGCTTCTTGGTGCCGGCGCTGAGGCTTACCTGGTCAGGAGAGGAGAGAGACATGAGTCCTGGGTCAAGCTCAGGACTCCAATCAGCCGTCCGGCTCTCAGCGAACCCACAGCAGAGTGACAGAGGGAGAGAGAGTGAGAGAGCGGGAGAGAGATAGAGGGAGGGAGAGACAGGCGATCGAATGACAGGAGCTTGTCCAGCTGGGATAGCGATGATTGGTCAGTTGTGATTTGATCACGGACGTCAGGTCCAGTTATCCCTGAAAGATCGATCTCTCACACACAAACACAAACTTCAGAACGTGAGGTCATGTGTTCATATGTATGTCCTGAGACAAAACAGGTCTATTTCTGCTGTTTTAGCCACTGTTCGCTGCTAATAATGCAATTTCTCGGAGCTGTTATTGCATCTGATATGAAAGAAAGCCGAAGCTTTTTATTCAGCTTGTGTCACAAAATACATTGAACAGGAAAACAAATGATTAGGAGTAGAAGGCCACAAAATCAGTAGGGTTTTTATCATTACGCTGATTATTCAAATCAATAATGAGCGATTACTGATCTGACTGGTGCTCTGAATGAGCTCACACACTCGCGCAGAAAAAACATGGTGCTTCCAACAATAAAGGAAGCCTTGTGCATCTTTCATACAGTGATAGGAAACACAGTAACAGCATTCATGTGGTTAAAGGGGGTTAACTCAAAACTGTACGAGTGTATTTTAAGCCCATCACGGTTGTGCCGCTCTGCCTCTCCCGAGCATCTTGTTTGCTGTCAAAACTGGGTGCATCCAATCAGAGAGAAGTGGGCGGAGTGTATGCTTCAGATGCACCCACTTGGGTTTTTTTTTTGGTCCTTTTTAAGATTATAAAGGGGTTGTGATTTTGGAGGTTTATTTTTTGCTAGCAGGAGGGCGTGGCAGGTGTTAAAGTTTACTTTTAAGTACCTACAAGTATCTACATGCAGTAACTTTCCAAGTCTAACCATAGCCATAGCCTCATAGCGTTGTAGAGCTCATTTGTTTCTTTGTACGGTTCCCCAAAAACACATTTTAAATGCTATTTTTAATGCTACTACACTCTGTATATGTATATTAGAATAGTAGTTCTATAATTGGCTCATTATAATACAGTTACAGTACTGCACAGTCTTAGGCCACCAGTAAAATTCGATGTAGAGCTATTTATCTGGGCAGTAAGTGCTTATATTTTCTGAAAATCACTCACTTTAGAACAATCAATAAACATTAATACAAATCATAAGGCCAATATTTATCACCACCATTCAATACCTGCTTCAGTTAAGCCTTCATTAAATTAACTCAGGTGTGCTGCTGATGGAAATGCAGGCAATGACTGGAGCTGCTTCAAGGGGAAAAGGTACCAAACCTGTTATTTGCAAATTTCTGCTAATTTTTTATTATAAAATCTACTTTTAGCTGCAACAGATCAGTGAGCTGGAACTCACTACAACAGTCTCTAAAACTCGGATCGCTGTCACTCGGCTGTTTTAAACTTTCTATAAACTATAATTTAAACTATGATTGTTTTAGCTGAGTTTAACTTTTCCTTTCTCCTTTTTGTTTATTTTTCCCCTCAATTATTTTGTATTTTTTTTTATTTCGCTAATTAAAATCTTAATTTGATCTTAATTCTATTACTGTATTTACTTATTCGTTTTGGTTACTTTTTACAATCCTTTTACTTGACTGTTTCAAATTTCAGCTTGCCTTGTTTATCATATTTTGTTGAAATTCTATACAATGGTTTCTTATTTCTGATTTATCTTACTGTCATTTTCATTATATTATTCTATATTATATTTTAATATTATTACTCATCTTGCTTGATTTTGTTTTATTCTTAAAATAAAAATATTATTTTTGTTTTTATTTTACATTCAATTTGTTCTTTTATTTTTAGTTTAACCTGATTAAATTCAAATCTATTTCTTTTTTAATCCCTTTATGCTGTAACTGCTTGGCTGCACTGAAAATGAGGGTCACATTATGTATTTCTGAGTGAATATAAAGTTTGACTGACTGATTGACTGACTGATATCAGTGTTTGTTTGTTTACATTCTAATATTTTATGTATTTTAGCGTTTTACAAGATCTTGACTTGGCTAAAACATTTTTGCACAGCACTGTTTACATGCTGCTTATTATAAAACACGGAAATGCCAAGCACATCCAAAATAGCCAGTTGTCCCATCAGAGAGAGGAGAAAATCAAGCTCCACAGGTGTTTCTGTCCATCCTTCCACTGTGAGAAGACGACTCAGCCCTATGGGTCTGAAAGGATGTGTAGCTGTCAAGAAGAACCTCACTGAGAAAAGGAGACGGACACATCAAACAAAGAAGCTGAAGAATGGACTGACCACCCCAGAGTCCAGACCTCAACCCCACTGAAAGCTAAGCTTGTACTTAATGGCAGGTTTTACTGGAAATCAAATAAATGAAACGTGGTCTCTGATTTTTGCACAGTGCTGTACAGCCATTCTTCTGCACGTTCCCTGTAAAAAAGCTTGTGATCATTTCCTTTCTGTTCTCCATTCATTAATTCCAACAAGAACTCTCCCAATAGAACTGCCAAACTCAATATCACATCACTATGGACAACATGACCTTCGCTGACCAAAGCACTATCACTGGCCAAACGTCTATAAGGCCTCCAATAAGCAATTCACACAGGGAGTGAGCAGGCCAGACCCACTTTACTGTTAATCTGGACAAACTATATTTATCTTCAACCACTTTATCAGAAGCCCCTCTCTGGTGGCTCCACCCTGCTGGTGTACAGTAAGGCACTGTGTCTCATTGGTTAAGGCACGATTTGCGTTAGCCATCCTGTAGTTCTTTCTGACCACAGCCAGTCTTGACTGGAGGTCCACTCTGATACATATTTATACATATACACACACACACACACACACACACACACATACATACATATATACATATATACATATATGTATATATATGTATATATATATATATATATGTATATATATAGAGAGAGAGAGAGAGAGAGAAAGAGAGAGAGAGAGAGACAGAGATACACATACATACAAATATATATATTTGTAATATATATATTATACGTATATATTTTTTTTATTTTATTTATTCATCTATATAAAACTTCAAACCTTAACAACTAAATTATGCATCGATTTGAAAAAACAAAGGAATTCAGATTTCATTTGTCCAAAATAATTTACTTACATCAGATTCCTTTTGTAAGAATGCCTCATATCTTATCACACAGTAACAAACACTGCGATTGGTTAAATTGCTCATTATCATATTACAAACTTCTGCAATATCAGCCAATTTCACGATAATGATTAACTAATAATATATTGTGCAGCCCAACTACAGCAGCAACAGCAGCAACCGATGGGCTACAATCTGTAAATGTAAAACCTACCCAGCAGACTTCTAAGGTAGCTGGAGTTCATAAGGTGGCCAGTAAGTCACATGACAAGGTAAGGGTTTCTAATAAAGTGGCCATTGAGCGTTTATGATCACATATTCGCCTTATTAGCAATATATTTTGAATCCTGTGGTCTTCTTAGTTTTACTGCCATCGCCTGTGACATAAGCCTGTAGATGTGATCAACAGTTGGCGAGCAACACACTGCCATTTATAGCACTACTTAGCAACAAGAGAGAGTGAGTGGACGGCACGTAGCACGCCAGGCCAAACAGTGACCGTTCAATCCGCCTGTGTCTGGAGGGAACGTTCTAGTGCCTCTGTTTCAACATCAAAGAAGAATGACATCAGAACAAGCTCCTGTATTGTACCTACCATAGGTCACAAAACGGTGAAGGAACCTCAGTGATGCAAAAACAATGAATGAAGGTCAATGAGGTACAGAGGGAACTAATCTAGGCCACAGGCCTGTTGTTCCAAATCAATAACACTTTAGTCAGTTACATAATCCACATAACATTACAATCTACAGCAGCAGTGCATTGATCAGACCAATATGCAGATTCAGACAACAGCAAGCCTGTTTAAAAGAGTAGCAGCTTAGTAGTTTAGTATAATACAGTAATATAGTAAAAAATAAAATATGCGTATATACACGTATAGGGATATATATAGGGATATATACACACACACACACACACACACACACATATATATATGTATATATGTTTAACAAACACACACACAGCAAAAAAAATTACTTTTATATCAAAATCATGCAATTTACAAATCGTAATTTTTTAGCCAAAAACAGGCCTGAACCTTAATTTATAGAAAATAACTGCAATTTAAAACACAGTATAAACACAATAACACAGTTTAAAACACAATATTAGTCAGAAAAAAAAAATCAAAATTAGATATCGTCTCCAAAACGTTCAGCCCTACTCATCAGCATCCAACATTGTACCAGCTGGTGTTAGCTCATTAGCTCATCTGAAGGGGCAGGCGCTGTTACTCAGACACTAAACCTACCTATTTCCCTATATTTTTTAATAATAATAAAACTATTTCTTTTAAAAAGTAAACCTACATCTACGCTAATTTTATTTTTTCTTCATTTCATTGTTGCTTTTTGCTTCCCTTTGGTTAACTGGATATCTGTTTATGAACTTCCATGGATACTGGAATATCACAATTAGTCGGAATACTCATCCCTAGTCTGAAACACCTGCTTCACCTGCTGCTTCATGTCAAACTGGGGACCTTCCAGGGCAAAGTACTGCAGAGATTAGTGTTTACCCTCGTCTAACACTCTGAATTCAGTTAATGAAGCCCTTGCTAATTAGCTGATGAGCTCAATCAGGCGTGTTTAATGAGGCAGGGTGCTGAAGTCTGCAGTGTTTTGGCCCGCAAGGACTGGAGCCTGACACATGTGCACTAGAGTACTGTGCATTTTATACACTTGTCCAAGCCTGCTTACCCGTGGAAGAGAGGAAAAGACGGACAGAGGCAGGTCCAACACGCGCAGGGCAGCCAGTTTTAAGGACAGCGGCGAGTTTTGGAGAACGTCTTCTGCCATTGTGCCATAATCACGTTATCCAGTGCCCATTCACCTCGACACGCTGGAGAACACATATAGACATAACAAACACAAAAACTGACTGGATTAAGACCAGAAAATTTGTTTGGCGGCTCCAATTTGTGTATTTGCGCTGCGGCAAGGAAGCTTAGCTAGAGTATACTAGCAACAGTTGTCCTTGCATTTGTATTTCAATCCATTGCTTCTCAAAGATTTTTTCAGATTTTCCACTATTTTACCATCAACTCAGAAGACTCATGTAGGTTCACTGGTGGTTTTGGATAGTAAATAAAATGGCTATATTTGTGTTGTAGACTTGGTGACCTCTGGTTCCTATCACCACCACTGTAAAGAAATCTGAGTCGTTAAGTTTCTCTGCAAATGAACAATTTCACATCTATGACCCTTTAACAAACAATAGGGGTCTTCAAGCAAAAAAAACCCTGCTGCACAGAATATGACAAACGTTATCATCAAAACACTGTATGGTGATATTTCCATTTCTTTAACCATTTATACTCTATAAGTCTAACAGTCTGAGAAGGTGATGGCATGGATTCACTACAGATTTAAATAAAGAAAAAAAGGAAAGAAAAGAGAAAAAAGTGGCTTCATGTTGGAATTTTTCCGTTCCACCTTAAATGCTGCATCAGTTACACTGCGGCTCCTGAGGCAATAACAGTAACTACTGCACCATTTAAGGTGGAACGGGAAAATTCCAACATGAAGCTGGCGAATAATAAAGCTGATTCAGCCTCGAACTGTCACACATTCCGCGTATTATATTCACATCTAATGCCACCGCTGCGCCTTCAGGGCGTCAGATAAACAAACCCATAAAACCCAAACAGAAGATAAACGGGCGTCTTACTGTCAGTCTTCGTGTCGGTGAGCCAGCAGCGCCTCAGCCTGAGCTCAGAAAGGCGAACGTGGGAAAGACGGAGGGAGTGACGTCACGCCTCACTTACGTAACACTTCCAGTGCTTTCAGACGGGCCTTCAAAATTAAAGTCGGAATTAGAGCAAACTCAAAAGTTCAAATTTAACTTTGCGAGCAGAAATGATGATTTTCCACGAGATCTGTGCTAATTTTTCAATTTACGGAGCCTCTGTGGTAAAAAAAAAAAAAATGTAATGAAATTGCATTGCCACGCAATAATTTTGCATTCTCTCGCAATAATTTTGTGTCCTCTTACAATAATGTTGCATTCTCTTGCAATAATTTTTATGTTCTCTCAGAATAATTTTGCATTCTCTCGCAATAATGTTGTGTCCTCTTGCAATAATTTTCATTCTCTCACAATAATTTTGTTTCTCTTGCAATAATTTTTCATTCTCTCACAATATTTTTCCATTCTCTCATACAAATTTTGTGTTCTCTTGCAATATTTTTGCATTCTCTCATAAAAAATTTTTGTTCTCTTGCAATAATTTTGCATTCTCTCACAATATTTTGCAGTCTCTTATAATAATTTTTTGTCCTCTTGCAATAATTTTGCATTCTCTCACAATATTTTTGCAGTCTTTTATAATAATTTTGTGTCCTCTTGCAATAATTTTGCATTCTCTCACAATATTTTTGCATTCTCTCATAATAATTTTTTGTTCTCTTGCAATAATTTTGCATTCTCTTGCAATAATTTTGCATTCTATCATAATCATTTTTTGTCCTGATGCAGTAACTTTGCATTCTCTCGCAAAACCCAGTGCATTTGCAAGGATAGTTTTGGATAGTAAATAAAATGGCTATTCTTGTGTTGTAGTCATTGCGACCCCTGGTTCCTATCACCACCACTGTAAAGAAATCTGATTCTCTACAATGAAGCTTTTCATGAAAGATGAAACACTATGAAAGATGGAATGATTCAGCAATTTTGAAAAATTGAGGGAATTCCCCTTTATGCAAATACTTATGCAGCACTTCAGACGTAACAATAAGAACTGTTAAAAGACGCCGTCAGACGAGTCATTCAAGATCACAAAGAACGCAGATTAGGATGCAGCCCAGATTTCGATATGTGCGTTTGAGGGGGGAAATCTACAGAGCCCCTCAGACGACATGACGATTATTATTAATAAGGCATGGACACAAATTACTACACTGAGGCCATGAGTTACTATTTTAAGGCCATGAATTACTATATTGAGGCCACGAGTTACTATACCAAGGCTTCAAATGGCTACGCTGAGGCCACAAGTTACTACATTGAGGCCACGAGTTTCTATACTGAGGACACAAATTACTATATTGAAGCCACAAGTTACTATACCAAGGCTACAAATGACTATACTGAGACCACAAGTTACTAAATTAAGGCCACAGATTACTATATTGAGGCCATGAGTTACTATACTAAGGCCACAAATTACCATATGAGGCACCCCGAGTTACTATATTAAGGCCAAAAGTTACTATTTTAAGGCCATGAATTACTATATTGAGGCCATGAGTTACTACATTAAGGACATAAGTAACCATATTAAGGCTACAAATTACTATAGTGACCAACAAGTTACTATATTAAGGCCACGAGTTATGAGAAACTTAACTCGTGACCACAACATATTAATTTATGTCCACGCCTTTTTAAAAACTAATCACCATACCACCTTAGGGGCTCTGCAGAAATCACCAAACTGTGCCACAACGCGGCCACCCAGGGACCCGAGCTGGGCTCTTCTGGGCTAGATGAAAGAAGACACTCTGCTATGTCCCCGTAGCTCGACTGGGGGGCGCTTGGGCTGGGATTGTGTGCAAACGCTGCCTACGCGATTCGCCCGTCGTTCCACCCTTTCTCCGCTAGGCGGCGCCACCGAGTCCTCGCCGCTCACTGTCGGTGTTAGAGAGCAGGAGAGCGCCGCTCCAATGTGTCACATCGCAGACGAGACTGGAGGGAGTAAAGGATGTAAATAAAGGAGAGAAAGCGAGCTGTGGGCGTCTTAATCGGCGAAGAGGTCTATCGTTCTTCATTCGCACCGCGCGCCGCTGCCTGGAGGTAAAGCCTAAAGCAGACGACGTCAGGGTTGCGTTATTAGCTTCGCGGCTAACTGCTAGCTGCTGTTTGTGGCTGTGACTGATCTCCTGTGGCTTCGTTTTTGAATTTCTCAAGCCGTCGCTCATGTTTTATGCTTGGACTCGCACTGTCGCCTCGTCGACTAAGCAAGCAAGTCTTTAATTTGCTTATTTGAGCTCCCTCCGCCTGCCTGCGTTAGCTTGGTTAGCTCTGCCAGCTGTCAAATGCCCTTATGGCCTAACGTTAGTCAGCTTTCGCTTCGGCCGAATTCCAATTCGCGCCGTTCTGAGCATGTAGTGCACTAGTTAGGGTGCAACAGTCGTTATTCCTTGCTCTATTTAGCTAGTGCTCTAGCTAGCTAGCCTAACCGGTGGTATTTCGTTTGTTTTGGTCAGCATAAGCTTCAGATATGTGTTGCTTGGACACGTAGTGGCTTCTCCGTGAGTATTTTCAGGCTTCAGTTATACAGAAATGTGATGTTTTATTCAGAAGCAGGAGTCTGAAAGTGCTGAGGAGAAACATTTCTAAATTTGCTGATCTTGCGTCTTGAAGTTCTGCTCAGTCAGTGTAGCATTGGCTATTTTTATTATTTACATTATTCTGGGACGGTTAATGTGGAGAATAAAACTAAAATATCGCTTACAGTTAACGTTAACTCAAGCCATCGTTCGGTTACAGCGGTGTGAACATTCAAAATGTTGATGGTAGGTTGCTAGTCGTCGAGGGATCAGGCAGCTTTTTGAGACCGAGCCTTTCTCTCAAACTTCATCACGAGCTTGCGGTGAATTCGTTTGGATTTACACCGACTTTTTATTTTTAAGTGAGCTTTGCTGTGGTAAATTATGTTTTTAGCTAAAAAAAGAAATGTGTTTTTAGTGTTTGCTGTGGTAAATTCGTCGTAACAACGAATGGCTGTGAATTCTGACGTGTTTTTTTTCTCTACATTTGGCTTCTGTCTGTAAAATAGCTTTCATTTTTATCCATTTGATTAATTTATTTATCTAAGAAGGTTTTCACAACGTACAAGTCTGAAATACGCCTTCTTAAACGCCCCTTATCGTACATTTTCTTGTATATTTTGCCTCCCTGAGGTTCACTTATAACATTTCCGTAGTTTTATGTACCAAAAACAGTCATAATTATGTTTACATCACTGTTTTCAACCTCGCTTTATCCCTTAGGATTAAACTGACCGCGTTGTTTACTGCGCCTTTAAGACAGGTGTATGTAAATGAGCTCTCTTCTGACTGGCTGAGCTGTATGGTGCCTCGTAAACACTTCTTATAACTTCAGTGTAAAGGGGCGGAGCTAAACCTCTGTGGAGTAGATACATTGGTTTTCGTGACATCACAGTAACAGTGAATTCAAAACGAGTGTTTTTCCATTAGCGCAGATCGATTTGGGAGGAAATATCTAATTTTTGAGTTTTCTGACCAGCGACTGTGATTTAAATGCGATTGTTTTCTATAAATGCTGCTCCAGGTTTGTTATTTAGACCAAGAAAACCAGACTATCCGCTTTTTCTTGCTTAAGCCTTGAGCGTAGAGCATTGTGTGCCAGACTGCTGGTTAGTTGTGGTTGTGATGTCACAGCACACGACTGTTTGGTTGCTTCTGACTGGTCCAGCTCATCGACAGGCGGTTCACAGATTATTGCTATGCCACGTCATTGCTTATGCCTTGTGACGTAAGCCGAGTTAGTTTACGCTGCTGCTCAGATGAACAAATGACTCAAGCTGGCAGTAGCCATGTTTACATGCAGCCTGATAATCTGTTAATAATCCAACTAAAAGCTCAATCGGAATACAATACAATACATCCATGTAGACACCTCAGTCGGAGCAAACTAGTCCAATTGAGGCCATTCGGAATACACTTTCTTATCCGATTGATCGAGGTGGGTAATCCTGTAAATAATCCATTAAATAGAAGAATAATATCCGTGTAAACGCCTGTATCTGATTACTTTCCCTATCAGAAAGTTTAAGTCCGTTCTGATCATGTTCGTCACGTCATAGTGAAAGTTTATACCGTTCAACATGGCGGAGCAGAAACTGGTCTGCAGAGGAGACGAAGTTTATGCTCTGATCTTTAAAAGACGGCGGTGGGACGGACGTCCAGCTTATGTGTCACAGAACGCGACGTCTTCCTCTCGGCCTTCTTTAATAAGGACATGTGAAGGACGTTTTCCTGAGTCTGACATTGTTTAAAAGCAATTAAGAACACAAGCACTGCTCACTGCTGCTCATCTCACTCTGACTGGACTCACGTGATGCTGGTTGTCATGGTAACGTCTACACTAAGTGGTTTTCTACACATGCGTGTAATTTTGGATCTGATTACTTGTAGTGAGCATGTAAACAGAGATTTTCATCAGATTGTTGAGCAGAATGAGAATATAAACACCTCAGTCTGAATCTGTAATCAGATTGTGTTCAATCGAATTGGCTAAAGTCTCTGCATGTAAACAGAGCCAGTGATCGAGGGTCTGCGCTCAGTGATCGAGGGTCTGCTGTTGGTGAAGCTTTTCTGCCTGTTTTCTGCCTCATTCAAAAAACTGCTTACAACTTGAGTGTGAGTGGGTGGGGCTAAACTTCTGATGTCACAAAAACACTGATTTCAAAATGTTCTTGCAGCTTAGTATTTCTATAAATGGACCCAGTAATAAATTTTATGTTTTGAAACTTTAACAGTGTTTAGATGCCACATGGAACTCTTAATGTAGTGAGCAAAAAGCCCTCTAAAAGCTCCCTCACAGAACATTACTACAAGAAATGGTTATGATTACGATGCCCGACGCCTGAAACATCGTTTTACGACAGATTTATGATAAGGTTTTTTATCCTACAAGGCTTTTTTTAAACTAGCTATACATGCAGGGTGTTATTGGGATAAATAGAAAGATTTTTTTTTTACAGATTTTCCAATTAAACCAACGTTGCGCATGAAACTCAGTGGAGA